ATAGAGCCAATTGCGCTCGACCGGCAAACAAATCGGTAGCTCTCGTCGTTTCGCGACCGCAATTTCTGATGGCGCCAAACAAACATATAACAAGTAAGAGATTTTCTGATATATAATGCCATTTTAAATTTCATTATGGATATATCATATCAACATTCCTAATTGAATTTTCGTGATTAGTTTGCATGCTTCAATTTCTATTCTATTATAAAAATCTTCAGATTGTATCAAAGTGTTCCGCTCTAGCTTATGCTTTGAATTGTCCGGTTTCATTTTATCAGTTCACTACAAAAAAAACAGACCATTAGTGACTCCAAAAAGAGTCACAATATAATCACAAAAACGTGATTTGCGACCACTTAGAGACTATAAAAAATGGTCGCTAAAAACCATCAAATTAATATGGTCGCAAAAGAGTCGCATATTAGAAACCATTTTGTGACTCTTTATAAGCGTCGTAAATTTACTAATATACGACTGTTTTCTGGGGTCGTTCATTAGTGAATAATTTGGGACGAGTTTGTTGGTCACATACGTGCGACGCTTTTGTGACTATTAAAAAAATGTAGGTAGTCACAAAATAGTCTGTAAAGGGTCACTTAAATTTTGTTTCTTCAAACGTTATCGTTACTAATCGGTCACAAATCACTCACAAATTAGCAACTATTTTGTGACTCACAGATTAGTTGCAAATTAGCAAATTAGCAACTAATCGGTCACTAATCACTCACAAGTTTTTTAAAACTTTAAGATATAGAAATTTGAATTTTTTTCAGGTTAGTAGCAAAGTAGTTGTGTATTGTTGTTATAGTCGCAAATTAGTCACAAATTAAAGACATTTTTGTGACATTATTTTTTGAGTCACAAATCTATACCCTAAACCCTAACTTTTTTAGTTGTATAAGTAGTCTACATGATTAACCAATAAATCTTTTCCTATTTCATGATGTATATATTAAGAAAAAACAGCAAACTAATACCAATTATCTAAAATTTGAAATATTTTAAATTTAAACAAACTTTACCATTGAAAACATATCTTAAGATGTTATGTAAGAGTAAGATGCAAGGAGTTTATAAGTTAAAGTTTATAAAATTTTGTTAAATAAAAACATTTACTACTTGATAATATATTAGTGTAACTAGCAGTTGAATCTATGTAGAAACCTAAAACTAATTTATATGCAATAATTTTTTGATGAATTTCTAAGAATCATACAAATTAGTCACA